TTTTAATTCCCAAGTAAAAATTATCACAAGGCTCAATTAGAGAATTAGCATGAAGCCTGAGCAAAGAGCAGCACCTCGCCACATTGGCCCAGAGGCAGAGGTTGCACTGGCATAATTAAGAGCTGACAATTCTGTCCTTTGCTCCACAAAGAGGAAACCACGCTGGGCCACAATACTTGGTTTTTGCCTTAAGCACCTGACCAGGCACCTGCAGGGCAGGAGGAAAGGTGATAAAGGAGGACACTGTTATAGGGTAAATTATTTCTCCACGCACCGACTCCGTTTGCTGCTCTGATCAATCATTCAGACCAGTCCTGCGGCTCTGCTTTCTGCCATCCTCCCACACCTCACAACTAAGTCTTCATGTGAACCAGCCAGCTCTGTAAGGAACACAATAGTTTCAAGTCAGCCAGGCAAGTATTTCAGTCATTTTCCACGCATACATTTAAATACATACGAGAATTAATTTTTGACATATGCTCAAAAAGTATCATCCACTAACAGGAACTAGCAAGCAGAGAATTAACAGGAAGACAAGGCTAAGGATCCTCGGGTAAGTTAAGAAAGGGAATGTCATCACATGTAATACATCTGACATGAAAGGAAAACCAATAGGACAGCGAGTTATCTTTGACACTGAAAGTATGTTTCAAAAAACCCAGAGTCAAGAGCCCTGGAGTTAATTATTGGAAAGTAGGGACTTGTATTCAGCAAATATAAAGTAAAAGCCAAAGAAATCACTTAGGATGCAAAAAAGTAAGAGAATCATTTACAAGTCCAAAAAGTTCCCCCCCGCCCCCCCTTGCAAGCCACTTAGGAGACCATGTACCATGTTTAGTCCCGGGCATTTAGCCAAAAGACACTCACATTCCAGAGCTGGTGCAGCAAGGAGCAAAAACAGCTTTCTTTTGAGGAAAGCCTCTCAAAATTAAATTGCTTCAACTTCTAAGTCTGTATACATGAGACTGGGACAACTGATTGTTAGCGTTCTTTAGCAGCGTCAACTTAAGGTGCTCCTCTGGCTCTAACGGAGCAACACTTATTTGCAGCTTAGTATTTAAATACTTTACAAAAATGACTCCGTGATTTCAATATGCTTCTCAAAACTCAAGAAGATAATACCTGCCCATGGGTAAAGCTGGGCTTTAACTCTGAAGAGGCAGGACATAGATGCAAGATCCTCCGAAAACATTCATTTGCAAGGCTATCTTCAGAAACCTCATTCCAAGATTGCAGGAAAAAAAGAACGCACTTCCTTCATCTCATCCTACTCTTGTTATTCATCTTCTTTATAGACCATATTCTTCCTCCACAGTGCAGCCTCATTCACTCTGTCTTCATGCAGCACCCAACAGAAAGGCATTCACTGCCGGCAAATCACCTTTTCTGACATGTAACTGTCATAATATACTTTTTTCCTGTCAAAGGATTGGTTGAACTCTGCTAACTTGCTTCTGCTACTTCCACTCTCTTATGGTGGGATTTTTTTTTTAATGCTTCTCTTCCTATTTAAGCCAATGGTAGAATCGCTATCAGCTTCAAAGGAACAGTACAGCATTAATGCTCAGCAATTTTCAACTGAATCAATTGTTTAAAAGAGCCACACACAAAGAAAATTTACAGAGAGAATGGAACTGAAGCTCCTAAATTTCTTCTCCTTGATATTTTGATATCTATAATTTGTCTCTGCTGATCTCAAGATATGGAAAACAAAAATACCAAAAAAAAAAAATCACCCTATATCTGTTTTATCAGCCAGTTTCTTTTCAAAGACAAACGAATGACTCTGGCTGACAAAATCCAGAATTGCAAGCCTCAGCTTAGCATTCGACATACAGAGCAAACATTTAAATGAATCGAACACAATGCTCACACATGAGTCATGCTACAATACTGCACAATTTAAAAAAAAAAGAGAACACCCTCCTGAGCCTTTCAAGATCAAAGCACTGAAGTCCACACACAATTATAACTGGAGCAAGACACTCATTATCAATTCTGTGTTCAAGTAGTTGCAAATGAAATTATCTCAGAACGAGCGCTAGGCAAAAATATTCCCAAACTACTTCTAAGCTATACAATCAATGGGTGAAGACCAGAGCCTTGCCATGAGAAGACAATTAATTCTGGTCACTTTTCTTAGAGAATACATTAAAATCTTTCTGCAAGTTCGCAACACATGTTATGTGGGGGGGGGGGGGGGGGGGGCCCAGAAAAAAATTTTGCCATTCTTTAAATAAAGTCATAAGTTTATTTTTGCAGAAGTTAAGCATGGGCTGTACACATACAGGCCCACATAAAAATCACAAAAAGCAAAAAAGTTACAAGGATAAAACCAAACTCTTGGGCCTGATCCAGCTTTCACAATAAATAGCATAAATTCAGAAGCAACTCCATTGAAGCTGATGGAACTGTAAAATTGTAAACATTCACATAAAGAGAGAAGAATCAGGCCTGTCTTCTCTTGATCCAAGAATGATCCTCACAAATAATGAACTTCAAGTCTTAGAAATTCACATTGTTTTGTTTTTTTTCTTCTTAAAGTTCAAGAAACAACACTTGGTAGAAGAGAGGCAGTTTTAACACTTCTATGCTAAGATTCCCCCTTCCTCTGTAACCTCGGGCATGAGATGCAGGTTTTGGTATAACGCCCCTACCTTCCCTCCATCTACCCGCTGTTGAATCTAATAGCTCCTTTCTCAGCCTCCTGCCTCTCCACACATCTCCTCCTCACTGAACTCCTCCTGCACAAGAACGCTTCTTAGCCACACCGCCCTGTGAACGGGCAAGAGCAGATGAGCCCAACTTCCACAAGAACGGCAGCGAAAGGGAGGCCGGGCCAGACCCACTGGAGGGGTTCAGTTGCGGGGACTGCTGGGGTGGGGGGCACAGCCAGCCAGTGCGGATGGAGAAGACTGTCACCTCCCCCTGGCAGCCAGCCCCCTCTGGCTCAGGATGAGCAGGACAGGGGAGCGTACCTATTAGGGCATGTTTTCTGCTTAAACAGTCTATCCTTATCCTCGTGATAAAATAACACAGGCCAAAGGGTAACATCTCTCAGATTACATTCGGCCAAGGGTTTTTTCCTGGCCTGCACAAACACCTCCCTGTTACTGCATTCCTTCTGGGCTGGCTCCACAGACAGTACATGCACCACCGAAGTAAGCTTGCATTTTAAGCATGCTTTTCACAAAAAAAACAATGCAGCAGTTAGAAATGAAGAAAGCACTTGCGTTTCCATACTGCACTAACCATTGTCTCTGCAACCAAATCATCAGTTAGAAGAGCAGGCGCTATTAAAGGCAAGAAATACAGGTTGGAAATGGCCATGGACCTAGACTCACCTGTGAAGCCTGCTAGGTCCTTCACCTCCTTTCATTTCTGCTGCAACACTAAAAAACTGCATAGGGGAGAAGAGTGTAGAGGCCTGGATGTGTTATCTCAGTCCATCTATAAGAGACCCTCTAAGCCAAATCAAAACAGGCTGCGATACCACGTCACCTAGACCAAAAGCAGGATTAGACTATCTAAAGCACTTCAAACACAACAGCCAGGAACGCGAAGCGGTAGCGGCCGCTGCTCCACAAGCGAACCGCATTGCGGCTCGTGGCAGCCAGGTGAACGAAGAAGAAAATTCCACATCGCTACCAACCCGCTCTCCTCACCCTCCCCAAACAGCAGTTACTCAGGTTCCTGAACAAGCACGGTAGGCTGAATCATAACGTGATTTAGATTTGGGGTAATGCAGGCAGTAGAGGAAAGGTTAAAACTAATGACAATAAGTTGCTCTATTCGAGGTCACAAGCACCAAAAATGCTGAGTGGACATGACATCCTTTCCCGCTTTCAGTACTGTGCTTCGTAAGAGCAGCCTGCTACCTCAACAGTATGAAATAACTGAATTACATTTAGTGTCTTGCTGTAGCATTTTATCTACCAGGAAACTTTTTTCACTGTTCTAAATTCAGAACCGTATTGGATATTAGATACTCATAAAAAGCCTCATATCCATCCAAATCCTACTACATCATCTCTGCATTTCATTAACAGACGGCTTAATTTCACATACACTGCCAAATACTTCATTACACTTCCATCCCCCTTCCCAGTACACACTACCAATTTAAGTGACCTGAACAAAACAAATGGTCTAACCGGCAACACTTGGCCCTTCAGAGCCCATGCAACTCTCAAGTAAAGAATTTCAGGGGAGGGTTGCCAGATACTCACATATCATGATAAATTTCTGGCTACAGATTAGAGGTATCATAAGCCTTTTATTTTCAACATCTGTATGATGGGCCAAGTATTTAGAGCCACAATCAAGTACTGCTTACCCACAGAGCCTGCAATACACATGACAACAGCACCATGTCTGTACTGTACCTGACCGACCTGCCTCACTCTCAGCTTGCAGTTACGTCTGGAAGGTAAGAGCACAATTTCGCTGTTGAGTCCCTTTCAGCTTTTGATCCTAAGCCCCTCAATGATTAGGCTTGATTACTGGTGGCTAAGGTTTGGAAAGGTTTGTTAAGAAAAGGCCTGAGACCACACCTACCTTATCTAGTACTGCATGAATTCACTACCACTCACGGGAGTGGCATTACATTACCCATCACTAAGACACAACAGACATTTTCTAGTAGATAACAGAAGCCCTTGAATAGGTACGTTGGCAGTACTGTTTTGCCTTTAATTTTATTTTTTTAAATAAGCAGTAGCTCCCTCCTGGAAGAAAAAAAAAAATCAGTTCACTATTCATTCACTGCTGTAGAAATCACATTCTGCTTTATCTTTAGAAAATAATCCAAAAAACCCTCTCAGCCTGAGGTAAAAAAGGTGGTCTTCTCCTATGCTAGGCATACACGTGAGCAACACCAGCCAGCTTTCCTGGCTCTGTCAGCTGAAAACCAAAGTCTTTACATGACTGAGCACATACTACGCACTCCAGAACACTAGGGAGGAAGACACCGCAGCTGAGTTTCACACAGAGCCCATGACCACATCTCCCAGTGGGGCCTTGGGGCTGGACTGACAGACAATCAGTTGCTTGGTCTTGGAGCAGAGCCTTAGAGCAACCTACTAAAACCAGCCCCAATAGCCCCAGACCAAATTGGGCCAGGAATGCAAATTGCCCACAGACCCCTTGCCAGCACAGCCTCATACTGCTCGTATAGCATGGCCCTGACATAAGAGACTGAGTTGCTCAGAAGCCCACAGCTGGGCCACCTGCGCTCCAAATAGCGGAGCTCTTTCATTCCTGGGTTTATACTGTGTCCGTCACAGAAGTTTATCGAGGCACCAGAGGTTTTTGCAAGCAATCTTGGACTCCTGAAGCTTAGTATGACCTACTTCTCAACACAGACTGATATTCACTGCGTCTGCCCTTTTAAACCCTTAGCAAAAGGGGTAACCTACATTACCATACAACACTTTGCTACTGGGCTACTGTAAAGTAAGTCCTGGCAGACTGACCTACCAGGGATACCTTGCCCTGGAAGCCCACTTCCAACCATACTGTCTGGACTGCAAACCTAGTGAGGAGGGAAAAAAAAAAAAAAACAGGAAAACCCACCAAACACTTAAAAGTTCACTAAACAAAAGCAATCTGGTCCACAGAAACATGTTAAAAAAAAGTCAGTATAAGCTTCAAATGTGATTTGTAAGTGGATTCCTACCCAAGACACAGGAATCTTGTTTCACATTAGCTGTGCCACCTTCATTTTCAGAAAACTCAGTATTTGCTGATATTCTTGGTAATTATTACTTAGTTTGTGTTTTTAATCAACACAAAGAATGAGGCAGTGGATAGAATACAAATCCTCTCAATGAAATCAAATGCAGTCTAGTATTTCACACTGTAAAACACAAGGGACTGTTCCTTATAAATCCATTCAGAATCACAGCACAATTTTCTTATTTAGCTGTGCAGCTGAAAGACTATGCTAACTAGAATTGTCTGCTTCCTCATCTAATTAAACATTCAAGGACCTTACAGACCACGTACACCATCCCTGCCTTGCCAGCCATATAATCCACACCTGGACAAATGTGAACCTCTGCAAATAAAACTAATTTCAGGGACTCATTTAATGAGTCCCTCAGCTGGTCTCCATAAACTACGCTCTAATGGCACTCCTGCAAGCACTGTCATGTTTACCCTAGGGGCTTTTGCCAGCACAGAAATACTAGCTGGAAATCATGTTTTGCTCAATTCTAACCAACACAGCTGTGCTGGCAAAAGCACATCAAGATGTTTCCCACCTGGAAGAGCTTAAGAGTTGCACTTCAGGCAATAGGTGAGAGAAACATGTGAGAGCTGAGTAGCTTGGAAGCATGAGGAGACAAAGAAATGAAGCTAACAGAGAAAGGACAGGCTTCTGTTTTTCCACAACGAGTCACATCTGTGTGATTAAAACCTCCTTCTACAGTCAGATTTGCAAGGATGATGAATTCGCAAAGTTTGAGGATAACCAATTGGTAAAACATACGTTTTATCCTTCTCTTCTGGCAGGCAGGAACCCCTATCCCAGTCAGAAAAGGGATGTACCTGTCTGAAGGCCAGACCAGGAACCCTTCACCATACCTGGCCAAACTACTGTTCGTGATTTGTGTCGCTGCAGCGCTCACAGGGTTAGCACCGTGCCACGCCAGGCTGCTCTGCAAACGCAGTAAAGTTTCTGCTTCAAAGTCCGCGCGACCTACTCGCCTAGGAAGCAACACAGCAGAAGGGAGGCAGGCGACAGCGCAGGCTGCACGCTGCCACGGTCCCTGGTTGATCTATTGCGCTTGCCTGCACAGTCCTGAGCTGCAGGCCTACCTGTCCCAAACCTCTCTGCCCAAAAGGTTTCACGCCCCAGCTGCGAGGCACCCGGACAGGGATACCCAGGGCAGGAGAAGGCCTGCTCCCCCCCAGCTCCCAGAGAACCCCGCCATGCCAGTTCGCTTTCCCTTGACTACACACACCACAGAAGGGCAGACAGCATAGGAGAAAGAGGCAGGACAGCTTGAAAGGCAAGGAAGAGGGCCCAGGCGCCAAGGCTCGCTCTAGGGTGTTTTGATTTCCCTTTCGCTACCTGCGGTCAGAAGGAACAAAGGGGGACCCGCGGGGAGCCCCACTGCGGGACTCCCGAGCCCCCGGCCGGCAGCGCCGCGCCC